TATTGAATTAAATGATCCAACAATGAGATTAGCTTATACAAGAAGAGTATCTATGACTCCATCTGGTATATTGTATTTTAATAAATAACCAGAAGTAACTAGTGGTATTTTAAGATAACATTATAATATTGTTGAATATTTCTTAAGAGCTCATTATGAAGATGAAAATTAAGATATTGTTTTAAATATACCTTATATTACTTAATCTTACTATTATAATTTTATGTTTCCATCATTAAAAATTTTAGGTTAGAATTATGAATTATTTACATGGAGTTCATCTTCATTAAGATAAGGAACATGTTGGTTTGTAGATTTCAATGGAGCAGGAAAATAAAGATTTGAAATAATTAGATCAATTGGTAATTTTACAAATTTGAAATATGATGAAATTGCTAAAAATGCAGCTAGATTAGGATAAAATCTAAGTACAAGTATTAGTGTTGAATTGGTTGGTCCAATTAATATTATAATAAAGGATGATTTATTGGATAAGAATAAAAAATTATATACTGATGGTATTGGAAAGATATCTTAAGATTTAATAGATTAGATTAGATAAAAAATAAAAGTAAATTAAAAAATAAAAATATCTGCAGTATAAATAAGATATGAAGGGGCTAAGGGATTATTAGTATTAGATGAAAATCTTGAGTAAAAAACAATTGTTTTAAGAAGATCAATGATAAAATATAATCCTGCTAAAGGAGGATATCCTAATAAAATTTAAATTTTAGATTTTAATAAATTTAGAGGAGGATATTTAAATAGATAAATTATAATTTTATTATTGACACTCAAAGTTAAAGATAATGTTTTTCAAGAACTTTAAGATGGTAATAAGTATTTTTATCTATTTAGAATATTTAAAGAGAATTGAGGAATTATAAATGAAAGATGCTTCCATATATAAATATTTTAGTGTAGATTATTGTGATGAATAAATAGATGTTCCTAATATAATGGATGCTTTAAGAGCTTATATAAATATTGGAATGGATGATAATATATTATGTTAAGGAATATTAGCAAAATTAAAATAAAGAGGATTATTATAATTAAGAAAGAAAACAACTATTCTTGTTGATAAAGCAGCAAGAGTATTAGGAGTAATAGATGAACATAAATTATTATAACCAAATGAAATTTATTGTTTAGTTTAAGATGAAAATAATATTGATTAAGTTGAACCTGAGAATATTTAAGGAGAAGTACTTGTAACTAGAAATCCTTGTTTACATCCAGGAGATATTAAAAAACTTAATGCTTTATCAACATAAGAAATATTAAAAAGAAATAATGGTAAAAATCCATATGGTTAATTAATAAATTGTTTAATATTTCCAGCAAGTGGAAATTCACTTCCTTGTTAAATAGCAGGTGGTGATCTAGATGGAGATTTATATTTTATTTGTTGGGATAATAGATTATTACCACCAGAACTTGTTAAATCTATGGTTTATGATAATATGAAACAAAATTAAGTTTAATATAAGAAGATTGATTTTAGAGAAAATAATTAAAAATTTCATGAAAATGTTGATAAAAATTTTGATATGAAAAGTATGTTTGATTTTCTTTATCTTTATCTTAATTCTGAAACTTTAGGATTAATTGATAATTCTCATTTAGCATGGGCTGACAAATCAAATAAAATAGCTAATGATCCTAATTGTCTTGAATTGGCTGAATTACATTCTGATGCAGTTGATTTTGTGAAAACTGGAAAATAAGTCAATTTAGATCCAAAACTTCTTTCAAAAAGTAATAAATATTATATTATATTATAGTTTTTCCTGATTATATGGAGAAAGAGAAATAATCCACTTATGAATCATAAACAATAATAGGGAAATTATATAGATAAGTTTTATAAATGGGAATTTAATAAGATTAATAAATGGTTTATGGATTAGGATTTAATTAAAATGGTTTACCAAAAATAGAATACAAATTATTATATAATTTTGATAAATTAATTAATGAATGTAAATAAATTAAATAAAATTGTAAAATTACAATAAATTTGGAAGAAAAAAAAGATTAAAATGAATAATAATAAGAAAATAATGATGAATAAATAAATGAATAAATTATTCAATTAATTTAGAAATATATTGATGATAACTTTAAAAGACATTATGAATCTTCAATTAAATTGATTATGCATATATTTGAATAAATAGTAGGTATTACTCAAATCTTTTCAGTTAAAAGTGAATTTGAAATTTATAGTGGTAATTTTAGTAGCATGTAAAAAGGAGATGGATTATATTAAAAAGTATTATATATATATTTAATAATAATAGAAAAAATTAAATGTTGAAAAATATCAAAAACGTATTATTGCTTAAATTATTTAATTACATTAAGAAGTAGATAGAAAATTATAGACACTTTCTGAAATAGAAAGATTACAAAGAATTTCTTTAATTAATTTTATTTTAACATATTCTCCAAATTCTCATCCTTATCCAACTTTTACTATATTAGGAGAATTTATTTCATAATTAATGAAATAGATCACATCTTTAGAAGTATGGAAAATGCTGTTTAATATTCATTAAATATGGTATAGAGGAGTTGGTTAATATCTATTTTGGAAAGATTTATTAAAAATATATAAGAATGATTAGGATGAATTAATTTGATTAAGTTCATAAAAGTATTTAGTATTATATATAATTTTACATTTAAGAAATATATAAAATAAATTTTACAATATAATTATTATAATATTAATGAAAACACCATTTTGTATAAGACTTTAGATTTTAGGAATCTAACCAAATGATGAAACAGAATATTTTGAAAATCCTGATTCCTTTGAATTTAATTAAAAGGTGTTTCCTTTGAATAACAATGGACAAAGTTTAGGAATATATTTGAATAGATTAGAATATTATATTAAAAAGAATTATTTACAAGAAGGAAAGTTGGTGAAAGGAAAATTGATTTACAGTAAGTGAGTGCTTAATATTTAGCTTTTTACAATTATAATACATAATAATTTGTGGACATTTTTGATTTACTGTGTACAGATAATAATTTCATTAAACTTGATGGACAATTTTTATTCAAAGATGAGAATTCACTTTCACCATTAATTATAAGATTAAAGGTGCAAATTTATTATCAAGAATTTCTTAGATTCCAACATTTTTTAGAGAATCTTGAATTAGAGAAAAAGAATTTATACAATAATATTGAAAAAGCAAAAGTTGAATTAAATAATAATAATGAAAATTTGATTAATTTTAAAATGAGAGTTAATCAACTTAAGTAATGTTATTAAATATAACCTTAATATCCAGAGATTGACATTGCTATTTTATATAGTCATCCTTTAGTAAATCAAGATGAGAAACGTGTTAATCCTGTATAATATTATGATGATATATCTAATTTTAAAAAGAAAATATCTGCTCTAAATAAAAAGGTTACATATCTTATTACATAAGCTACAAAAGAGAATTTAAGATGGGTTCTTAAATATAATCCAAAAATTATTCATATTATTGCTCATGGTGAAAATGATACAAATAAACTTAATTAATATTTATAATTTGAGAATAATTGTACAGATGATTTCGTTTATAGAGAAGATTTATAATAAATAATGAAAGATTCTAAAAAATCATTAGTATTTCTTGCTTGTTGTTATGCTGGAGAAATAGCTAAAAATATCTAATAATATGCAACTACTATTGCAGTAGATAAAGAATTAAAAATGTTAGATGATGCAGGTATTTATTATTTTTAGTCTCTTTATGAAAATTTATTATAAAAGAAAACTTTATAAGAAAGTCATGAAGAAGCTAAAAAAAATGTAGTAGTTTAACTTGGAGATAAGAATTTTTAATGTTGTCATTGTCATTCTCATAGAGAGGCTTGTAAAGAGATATTTGGTAAATAAAGTGATTTATGTTTTAAACATAAATCTATATGTAAATGTGAAGAATAAGATAAAATTAAAGATAAATTATCACATATATGGGGTTAAAGTGAAAATGAAAAATGTAAAGAAGTTTGTGAAGCTATATTAAATTAAATAGTAGAATAATCATATAAAGAACTTATTAAAATGAAATTAGATGAATTAGCAGAAGATGGAATTCTAAGAGTTTGTTGTTGTGAATTGGCAGAAAAATTTAAAGATGATAATTATACTTTCATTTAACATACTGAATCAGAAAAATTTTAAATATTTTCATAAAATTCTCATTAATCATAAATATTTAATCATGTTGAAAATGGTAATTTAATTGAAATTAATAAATTATCTTGGGAAGAATAATATATTATTGCTTGGAAAAAGGATGCTAAAATAATATTTCATAAATTATCTGAAAGTTTCTTTTAAAATAAAAGATAAATTATAAAAATATGTGCTGGAAATCCAAAAGGAGAAAGATTTGTAATTAAATTTGCAATTTAAGTATCAAAATATTTTAAAGTATTATATTTATATATTAAATATTATAGTTTAGAAAATTAAAATTTTACAAAAGAAATGAACTTGATGATATTCAAATACTTTAAGATAAATTAGAAAATATTTAATAATTATTATAATAATAATATGAATAAAGGATTTGTTACATATTTATTATCTATCAATTAAATAAAGAACTTATATTGAAGAATAATGATTAATTGAAATAATTAAATCATAAAGGAATAGTAATTCTTATTTCAAATTAAGAATTATTTAAATTAGATCTAGATTCTAATTACTCTAAAATAATATTAAAAGATTGGTAATATAATTGTGATGAAAAAGAAAAATGTGATTATTTTAAAATTATTAATGAATATGGTTATGAAATAAGATAAAAGATATTAGAATAATTGGGAGAAAATAATTTAAAAAAATTAAAATTTAATGAATTACTAGATGAAATTGAAATTATCCTTAATCAATATCCAGAATAAATTGTTTAGAATTGATATCAAATTAAAATATATTTAACATATATTCATCTAAATATAAACAATAATCATTTAGGTTAACTAAATATAATTCTTAAACCTTCAAATAGTCCTAACAACCTTCTATTATTTAAAGATTTCCAACATAGTTTTAATTAAGCTAGTCGTTTTATTAAATCATCATCTTTCTTTCTTTTTTCTAATTCTTACAATTCATACATTTCATTAAGAAAAGATTTTTCAAAATCATTCTTTCTAATTCTCTCATTAGTTGTTAGATCCTTTCTAATCATATTTAGATGATATAAGAAAAATGCTGTTAAAGTGACAAAAAATATAAGACATACAAATATAATGAACATAAAAAATGTTTCTCTATTACTTATAACACTAAATACTCTTAAAAAAGTTGCCTTATGGATTTCTCCAGTTATAGCATTTTTATATGTAAGTTTAAATAATTATTATTTCTAAGCTATTCCAAATAAACAAAGTATCCCTGCAACTACTCCATAAAAACTTAAAAATATATGAGAAAATAAAAATAGTAAAAAGTATTTGTAATTATTCTATCCAATACATTATCTTACCCAAATACAATGATGATCAAATCTACTAACACAAACATTACAAATACGACAATGTTTACTTCTTGCTGGTTTTATAATATTACATGTTTAACATTATGTATTTTATTTATATTAAATTTCATCATAGTATTATTAGTATTTCATCACATATTCATTATTATTTTCTTTATTTATTATTCCTGGACTAGTTGTACATGTTTTATAAAAAAAGTAATTGCAAAATAAAAATATCAAACTACCACATATTGAATGTACATGACTTACATATGGAGTATTTCCAAAATGTTTTAATAATCCAAATTTACTATATAAACCAAATGCCATCCAAAATATTAAAAAATAAGCAATTTATCCTAAACGATTATTTGTGTAAAAAACATAATTGTAAAATTATTAAAGTTTTATGTATATTTTATTTCCCAATAATTATCTAATCAATAATTTAAAATATACTTTAAAATTGATGGACCATTTGAATATATTTTCCTTCTAATCATACCCATAGGACTTTTAGAATTTGAATCTGTACATACTAACATATACATAAAAGAGCCTGTAGTTAAAGCAAATAAAATGAAAAGTAATATTTCTTCCATCAAATATAATTTATTTTATTATAATATAAATAATAAATAATACTTCAAATGAAAAGTAATTGTCAAATGAAATATGATTAGATTATGCTGACTTATTTATGAACTAAGCAAAAGGAGTAACAGAAGAAGATAAACTAATTGGATTATTGAATTAAATCTAAGATCAAATATTTACTTAAATTTCCAATGATGTTAATAATAAACTAATTAAAGAATTACAAAAAAATGCCAATTTAGCATAAACAACCTAATAGCCTGAATTTCTTAGAGTCACTCCTAATATTGATACTGATTATATGCATTCTCATATCAACTTTGCTAAATCCATTTAATCAAATCAACCTATGGATAGATAAAAATTTGAATAATTTGAGAATAAAGAAGTAGTTAACTTTCCAATTTATCAATCAAATTACTTAGATGTCAATGCCAATGCAAAGTTCTACTATCCAAAGACTTAACCTAAGGGTTTAATTGAAACTCCTAAATAATATGTAGATTAAACCAATGTTTAGAACTACCTCATTAATCAAACCAAAATTTATGATTTCAATCAACCTGAAATTAAAGTATCTCATTTATTCATCCAAGCAAATATTTCCTAGAAATTTAGTAGACAATATGATACCTACACACCCTGAACCTGATTATGTAAAATAACAAGAATAAAAATTTAATTTCTCCTCTTAAATCAATTAAATGGGTGGACTAATCAATACTATAGGACGTATTTCATAATCTTTTATCAATTTAGCTATGAATCAGTCCTTAAAGCAAAATGAATAAAGATTATTCTTAAACACTCCTGAGCATTCCCTATTAGCAGGAGCTCTATAGGAAAAAATTAATCATGTTCCTCCTCCTTTTGTTCCTGTCCCTGCTCCTCCACCTCCAGATCCTTTTCTTACTAACCCCTAATATAGACTTTATGGAGTATAATAAGAACCACCTCAATTTAATGTTTAAAGTTATATTCCAGAAAAATCATAAATTTAACCTAGTAAATTGACAGCAAATTCTAATATTCAATAAGTTCCTTTAGAAAAACAAGAATTCCAAGAAATTAGTAGAGTTCAATCAAAAGTACAGGAAGAAGTAAAGCTTAACTTTTTGGATAGGGCTAGGTAAGAGAGAAAAAGAAGAGAAGAAAAATTGATCTAGTGATTATCATACAACTTATAAACTAATGAAGAATATAATTATCATAGTAATTAAAATTTATAATTTGGATTAATTAAAAGTAATTTAATAATTTTAAAAAATAAATTAAATTACTATATGGATTTAAACTAGCATATATTTTGTTATTTGTAAGTTTTAAGAATAACTAAAAATAGACATCACTATACAAAATACTTCTAATTTTATTTCATCACATATTTATTTATAAAATCTATTAATTAATTAAATGATCATTTAAGTTAAAGTTTTAATTTTTTTATATATGTATATGAAAAGGTAAATCATAAAATATATAAACGGAACATCAGTAATTTTGTTGAGACTAATAATAAAATTATTACTCTATATTAAGTGATTAATTATTTCCCATCTTCAAATTTTTATTGTTCTATAAAATTTATATTTTTATTTTATTGAAAACACATATTATTTAATGAATAATTTTATCCTAAAGATTGTAGTCTTATTTTGCCTTGAATTCTTATTTATTTTTGTGTAGATTTGATACCTTAATGAATCTAAAAAGAAAACTTAAGTCTGAAATAAAATTATTTTTTTGGCTTTTGATCAATTTTAATTAACTAATTAATTTTTCTTAATCATTAGTGTATATAAATATATATTAATTATTTTGATTTTATTGGAAATATTATAATAAAATATATTACAAATAATAATGAATAATGTGTGCCAAGAACATGGAAATTAAACTATAACTAATATATGTACTTTTAATCATGATTGTTAAAAACTAATGTGTCCAGAATGCTAATATTCTCATTAATAAATTGTTCCAGGAATGAAAATATTAACAATTTCCATGTTTAAGGATAAATTGAATTCTACTATAAATTAATGTGTTTCAAAGAATCATTCAGATAATCAAAATACAATTTAAAAGGAGATGAAAATACAATTTGAAGAAATTTTGAAAAAAATAAATACTTTGTCAGATTAAGCACAAAATACATTTGATTATTTGTTTGGGGAAATAAACTAAAGGGATAATTTTTATTAAGAATTATTTAACAAAGACCCATTAGATATGTCTTTAAAAGATCTTCACAAAATATCAAATATTTGGCACAATGAAATTTTAAATAAGTGGAAAAAATAGAGAGAAATTATCTTATTAATATTATAAAAAAAGGTAGGCTTGATGTATGAATTCCTTGGAAAATTTATTCAAAAATTGGAAAATTAAATAAGCTAATTTGTTGAAGAAATATCAACTACAATAGATGATGATTCTCCATTTTAGTATGAATCAATAATATTCCCAGAATCTTTTGGAATAAGGCATGGATAAGCATTCTCTAAAAGACAAGGCACATTTGAGGAGGTATATCAACTTTATAATTAATTAGTATAAATATATTAGATTAAATTAAAATATAGATAATTTAAATTAAAAAGGTTTTATTTTAAATAAATAAAAATTAAAGCTTACACCATTCTTAATCAATATACTTGAAGATGATGGATAAATATAGTATTTGAGGGATGGAGAAATTTTGAAAACGTAAAAGTTCCTTCAATATTTTAGAGAAAAGATTCCTAATAATAATGAAAGATATGTTATCAATAAAAATTTAGAATAAGTTAAACATCTCAGATGGGAAGGATCATATGATTAATAATTTAAGAAGTTTGGTAAATGGAATGCTTTTTGGAAGGGGAAAAAATTAGATATTGGAGGAAATTATGATGAAGGTGGATTGAAGAAAGGTTAATGGATTGAATTATCGGATATATATCAGAAGTATATTCTAAATATCATTATCTATAAGCCAATGTTAAGTAATAGAAACCGGATTCTATTAAAAAGGAAAAAAATCTGGATAATGGCATATCCTCTATAATGGTTTAAAAATGTAATTATTGTTAAAACTATTACAGAGGAGGAGGAATTTATGATGAATAATAGGAACTAAAGGTGGGAAATTGGAAAGAAATTCATTAAAATTTTAATAAGTTTAATTCAATCTTTTATCAATAGCAAGTGTCAAATATTTTATATTGGGGAATATATAAATGGTAAAAAAAATGGGAATTGGGAAATTTATCTTAGAGATGAAACATCTTATCAATATTAGAAAATGTTAATAAATTAAATTATTTTATATAGAGGATGTGGATTATATGATCAATTATATGCTTGGAAGCACGGCTAATGGGAGGAGCTTTATAACTAATATTTAGAGTTAAAAGCTTATGATATCTTGATATTTTTAGTACTTAAGAATTCACTTAAAGAGGTATTTATGAAAAAGGAAGGAAAGAAGGTAAATGGGATATTTGTCTTCGTGATACAATCATGTATTTATTAAGATGTTAACAATGATAAGTGGAGGTGGAATGTATGGATAATCAGGAAAAAATGGAAAATGGATTGAGCCTATCTCCAAGTATTTTATCTCATAATGAAAAGTTAGATTACCAATGAGGGCTATTATAAAGATGGAAAAAGAGTTGGAGAATGGAAAAAAAAATTAAATAATGAAATAATGTAACTCTAATCTCTTTATAAATAGAGGAGGAGGATTTTATAATGAAAATGGATTTAAGATATAATGTTGGACTGAACTACATGAGAAATATAGCAAGTATTTTTATCATAATTTTAGTTATTGCTAAATAATTTACTTTGGAGAATATGAAAATGGGAAAAAATAGGGAATATGGAAAATAAATAATAAAAGTTATCAAATGTATCGATTTTATTAAATTTAATAGAGGAGAAGGACTATATCAAAACGGTTAGAAATGTGGTAAATGGATAGAAGTTCACGAGAATTTTTTAAAGTGATTATTTTCTTATAATTTTGAGCACTTTTATGATACTTCTGGAAGGTAACTATCACAAGGGAAAAAAAACTGGAGAATGGATAACAAAAGTCAGATAACCACCATTAGAATAATTGATTAATACGTAAGTAAATTTAGAGAGAATTTAGCGGTGGAGGATATTATGATAATGGATTGAAAACTGGATAATGGATTGAATTGGATTAAAATTATGAAAAGTATTGGAATATTTATTAATACTTAGGATTAATCAAATAACCTATTCTGGAAAATATCAAGATGGCAAAAAAGTTGAAATTTGGGAAATTAAATCTAAGAATATTAAAATGTATGAATCTTTAATATTTATATAAGTGGTGGGGGCAAATATCTTTTTTCAGGTGAAAAAGATGGAGAATGGATTGAATTGGATGATAATTTTAGGGAGTATTATTTCACATAATTAAATTATTAAGTCTTTGCTAAATTGTCCATAAAGGTGTATACTAAAATGGGAAGAAAATTGGGAATTGGGTAATTTAATTTAGAGACGAGAATAACCAAATATTTGCGAATATGTAATATTATACAATATTTATAGAGGAGGAGGATAATATAATGATGAAGGCATATAAATAGACATGTGGACTGAATTATATTAAAATTTTTGGAGGTTTGAATATTTCATTAATTTCAGGGATTGTCGAATAGTATTTAAAGGAAAATATTAAAATGGGAAGAAGGAAGGAAAATGGAATAGTTGTTTTTAAAGCGATCCAAATAAGGATTATGAATTATTGTAAAAAATAAGATGAATTAATTAGTGCAGGAGGTTGTTATAATCAAGGTTTGAAGAATGGCCCATGGATTGAATTTTAAGAAAAATCTTGGAAGTATTTATTTGACGAAAACTTTTAGCCCGCAATAAAATCTAATAGTTTCATAATACAGTAATGGAATATATTAAAAATAATGATATTATATAATTTATATTTAAGATATTAATATTTTAAACAAATATTTAATTTTTA